CAGCTGGAGACTATGAAGAATGGCACCTCCAGCAAATTAGCTCCTCCTAACTCAATGCTGAGGTCCTGGGAATGGAGCAAGTCCAAGTAGGATAGGAAAGACACCACCTCCAGTAGTGTGGTAAACTCCTAACACCATGCTTTTATATGAAGAAAATGAAGAGCAACATCTCCCCAGTAGCCCAGCATCCTCAATACTATGCTGTGGTGATGGAAGGTGGAACATGGCCTCATTTGTTTAAACCCAGAAGAATGCAAGAGTACCGACTTAACCAACGTACCAATGGAAAGGGTGAGCAGCATATTGCATAAAGCCATAACAAACCAGCCAAACATGAGCAGGCTCCTCCAGCCAAGTCTCTCTACAAGGAGACCTGGAAAGGAAAGAGAAGAACCTTCATACAGTCCTGAGGTTCTTTCTGCTATTTTATTTTAGCCCTTGCACATTTGTACTAAGCATCTAACCCATGGGGTTCCAAACTTTTTACTGGCATGACCGCATTTTAATGAATTATATCCTCCCAGGACCCCAGACAGCATGGAGGATGCCATTTTGCTCTTCAAAATGGCATCCTCTATGCATCGTGACCTTGCATGCACCATGCATGCGAAGTAGGGTTGCCAATCCTGCAGGATTGTCCTGGGGTCTCCAGGAACGAAAGATTAATCTTTAATTAAAGATTATGTCATGTGATGAGACCTCCAGGAATACGTCCAACCAAAATTGGCAACCCTAATCTAAAGTCATGCAGTGTGGAGCAAAATGGCGTTCTCCACACACTAGGGATCCCCACAACCCCATCTGCTGATGGCATGACCCCATTTAGGGTTGCCATGCTCAGTTTGGGAACCACTGATCTAACCCATAAACACCCATGCTCTCAATCATACATGTACCATGAACTTAGCAGGCACCAATGATGTGTTAAAGATGAACTCGGGAAATGGGTCACTCAGAACCAGGGTAAATTTCAGTGGAGAACCAAGAAAGATTCCATTTGCTCATCAGGCCTTGACCTTGCATTATAGATCAGCTATAGAAAGAGGTAAAAATGAGACAGGACATAATGGAGGACTATAAATAATGAATGGTAGAGAGAAGGTTATATGAGTGTTCCACTATACCCTTTCTCCTTAATGCAAGAAGAAGAGGGCACTAAAAGACAGCAGATTTCAAATGGATACAAGCAAATACTTTTGGATATTCATTATAATTAATCTGTGGTGCTTGCCTTACCGGGATATTATTGAAGAAAATACTTTTAAAAAATGCATAAAATATGTTGGTGTAAATGAGTGAAAATTACGAGTGGTGTCAACCCACATGCTTCAGGGCATGGACTGCTCACCAGCAGTGGGAAAGGAAGACACTTCGCACCCCCTGCCCAACTCCAATACTCTGATGTAGTGATGCAAAATTGTTACAGGGTTTTATTCCGTCTAATGAAGTACCCAACATTAGACCCATTGGTCTAGTCACTCTGGCAGGCAGGACTGTTGGAATAGATGGATGAGTAATATGGTTTGATATGGAAAGAGGGTGGATAACAGATCAGACAGGCTAACTGGTGTGTTTCCGAGTGGTAGGATGTAGAATACAGGACTAGAAGGAGGTGAGATACTAGACTAGATGAACCAGAGGATCTGAGATGGTAAGGCAGAATGTAGAATACTAGATGGGATAGGTGCAGTGTGGATCTGATACAGCAGGAGGCAGGATTTCAGACTAGCTAGTCTATTGGTCTGTTCCCATCTGGCAGGAGGTGGGATATCAAAATGAACAGACCATTGTTTTGTATCTATAGGGTGAGCAAGTCCTATGTTCTGATTGCCCCCTGTGCACTGGCTGGCATGTCTGCCAGGACAGACTGACTGCCTATCAGCCAAACAGCCAGAAAACAGAATTAAAGCCCCATGTGAAGCCCACTTACAGAGAATATTGTGAAGAGGATGTTAATGGCCCCAATTCCCATGGTAGTGTGTGTGGGATGGGCAACACCAGCTAGCCGGAATATTTTTGTGGAATAGTTGATTACCTGGGAGAAAAAGACACAAAGTAACATGATGAGAAAATGCTCCTCCCCTTTTAAATCAGCTGTAGGGTCTGCCCCTCAAAGCTCATCCCGAATGCCAGCTAAACCACTCCTAGAGATTCCCCTGTATTTACATTCAGTCCCACACACTCACACTGTACAGAACCCTTAATCATTGTTCTCTCTCTTTGCCCCTGGAAGTTCTGCTCCTTCTGTGGCCACCTACAGCATTGAACCCTGACAGCTGGGTGCTGGCAGTAAGAATGAGAGCAATCAGGATGGGCTGCTTGTAGCTGGGGACAATGAATAGTCTCAGCATGGTGACATCCTCTGTTCCCTTAAGGTTGGCTGCTTCTTCCTTCATCTCCTCAATCTCTTCCAAGATGTCCTGGGTACCTCTGAGCCTCTGGAGTTCTGTAAGGCACCAGAGAACAGGAAGAACAACTAGACGGTATCCCTGGAATCCTCCCTGGTTCTGAGTGTGACACAGTTCCACAACTGATCTGCAGTGCCAAATGAGTTAATGAGACCTCTGAACCTTTCATGGATATCCTTTGAAACTCCCCTGGTTCCAGATGACCCATAAGAACACAACCATGGCCATTCAGGAACACACCGTTGTTCTGTCTAGTCCCACAAACTGTCTTTGACTGTGGCCCATGCCAGATGCTTCATAGAATCATAGAATCATAGAATCATAGAATATAAGGGTTGGAAGGGACCCCAGAAGGTCATCTAGTCCAACCCCCTGCTCGAAGCAGGACCAAATCCCAGTTAAATTATCCCAGCCAGCGCTTTGTCAAGCCTGACCTTAAAAACCTCTAAGGAAGGAGATTCTACCACCTCCCTAGGTAACGCATTCCAGTGTTTCACCACCCTCTTAGTGAAAAAGTTTTTCCTAATATCCAATCTAAACCTCCCCCACTGCAACTTGAGACCATTACTCCTCGTTCTGTCATCTGCTACCATTGAGAACAGTCTAGAGCCATCCTCTTTGGAACCCCCTTTCAGGTAGTTGAAAGCAGCTATCAAATCCCCCCTCATTCTTCTCTTCTGCAGGCTAAACAATCCCAGCTCCCTCAGCCTCTCCTCATAACTCATGTGTTCCAGACCCCTAATCATTTTTGTTGCCCTTCGCTGGACTCCCTCCAATTTATCCACATCCTTCTTGAAGTGTGGGGCCCAAAACTGGACACAGTACTCCAGATGAGGCCTCACCAATGTCGAATAGAGGGGAACAATCATGTCCCTCGATCTGCTCGCTATGCCCCTACTTATACATCCCAAAATGCCATTGGCCTTCTTGGCAACAAGGGCACACTGCTGACTCATATCCAGCTTCTCGTCCACTGTCACCCCTAGGTCCTTTTCCGCAGAACTGCTGCCTAGCCATTCGGTCCCTAGTCTGTAGCTGTGCATTGGGTTCTTCCGTCCTAAGTGCAGGACCCTGCACTTATCCTTATTGAACCTCATCAGATTTCTTTTGGCCCAATCCTCCAATTTGTCTAGGTCCTTCTGTATCCTATCCCTCCCCTCCAGCGTATCTACCACTCCTCCCAGTTTAGTATCATCCGCAAATTTGCTGAGAGTGCAATCCACACCATCCTCCAGATCATTTATGAAGATATTGAACAAAACCGGCCCCAGGACCGACCCTTGGGGCACTCCACTTGATACCGGCTGCCAACTAGACATGGAACCATTGATAACTACCCGTTGAGCCCGACAATCTAGCCAGCTTTCTACCCACCTTATAGTGCATTCTTCCAGCCCATACTTCCTTAACTTGCTGACAAGAATACTGTGGGAGACCGTGTCAAAAGCTTTGCTAAAGTCAAGAAGACAAAGTTCAGTTCAGAAGAAGACAAAGCCCTCCCTCATTGTGCAATATTGTCCTCTGAGAAGGCATTTATTCCTGACTCTCCAGCAAGCTGGAAATCAGTTATGCCCTGATGTATGGGAATAGGTAACAGCTTGAAGAATAGGCTGTAAGGAACAACTGCATTACATCCCATCTCTCTGATGCCTGTGGATCTTGGTTTCACAGTCCTGCAGTTTTGGAGGTTCAGTGGGCATTTTGTGCCTTACCTCTGGCAGCCAGTTCATCTTCGTGGCAATTGATGAGAAAGTAACGGGGGCTCTCAGGGCAAAAAAGGGAGGGTGAGGTACTGGAGGATGGCTGGTAGGGCAGACAAGGACAGCATGACTGGCCAACATTGGCTAGTGCCCAACGCATTCTCCAGGCTCACGATCTGAAACCAAGAGACAGAGAGAAACTTTCCAGAGAACATTATCTCATGCCCAGTAGGGGGAGGCAGTAGCCGTCTCTGTCCCACCAACATTACCCTGTGTCATAAACCCTGAGACTGAGAGACCCAAACCCAGCACCTTTCTGGACCAAGAGGTGAGAGTCATGCTGCTAGGTGTGCCAGGCCTTTGTACCAGCAGTGCCGTGTTTCAGATGCATAGGTCTGCAAAGGCATTCAGTGTGTCCTATAGAGGGATATATCCAGTGGTAAGCTGGAGCCAGTTTGCACCGGTTTGCGCGAACCGGTTGTTAAATTTAGAAGTCGGTTTAGAACTGGTTGTTAAAGCGGTGGGCAAACTGCGGCCCGAGGGACCGTCCTGTCCGTCCCGGCTGGGGAGGCTCCCCTGTGAATTTTTACTCACCCGGCAGCACTCCGAGCCTTCGGCGGCACTTTGGTGGCAGGTCCTTCAGTGCCGCCGAAGACCCGGAGCGACTGAAGGACGTGCTGCCGAAGTGCCGCCGAAGGCTCGGAGTGACTGAAGGAACCAGTTCTTCAGCTTCTGGCAGCTCATCGCTGGATATATCCTTCCTCATGCTCCCTCCCTGCTCCCCACCTCATGTTCTGATGGGCTCAGGCCTATGAGTCATAAGCCCTCACATTGCTGGAGCTAACAGAAATGCCATTATTTCTCTTTTAGCTCAGCTAGTCAGGGGCCTGGGCTCTGTTGCAGAAGGATCTGAGTTTTGCTGTGAAATTCTAGGTGGAAATTATAATTGTAATCCTTGCCCAGGGCCAGCTCTTTACCTGCCCAATGAAGATGCCCACTGTCTGAGACAGCTGGTTCATGGTGGAGAAGGCCCCATGGAGCCTGGTTGGGGATATCTCCTGGATATAAAGGGGAATCAGGGTCATGTTGAGTCCACAGAAGAGTCCAGTGAGGAAGCACCCCACAATCAGTGCCTCCAGGGAGCCTGCAATCTTGGAGATGCCCATGAACGCCACGGCCATGAGAGAGAGGGAGTTAGCAGTCAGGATGGAATTGCATCTGAGACAGCAAAGAGATAGCAGGGTGGGTTATGGAGGAAGGGAATACATTAAAGTCTGGCACAAAGACACTGGCTCTGACCCTGAACATGCCCAGCCTTCTCCCTGACCCAGGCCCTGAAAATATACAGCTCCTCTCTGACATGGCCCCTGTAAATACTTGCAGGGCCGGCTCTAAGTTTTTTGCTGCCCCAAGCTCCTAGAGCACAACTGCCCAAGCCAAATAAAAAGAAAAGAAAAGAAAAGAAAAGAAAAGAAAAGAAAAGAAAAGGATGGCCGGAACACTGCCCCTGGAAATGTGCCGCCCTGAGCACGTGCTTGCTTTGCTGGTGCCTAGAGCCGGTCCTGGATACTTGGTACCATTCTGGTACTTGCTCTGGGAATACCCTGTTCCTCTCTAGTATTGACTCTGCACTTTCTCTGCCCTTGTGTGGTGATTAAACACAGTCCCACTGCATGTACCTTCCATAATGATCAGCCACTATGCCCACAGTGAGTGCTGAGACAGTGGCCCCCCAAAGCCAATGTGCTGACGGTGAAGGACCAAAACATGGTGAGTGCATGGAGAGACATTGGATCCTTGAACCGCTCCTTCCAGGTCTGGTTGAAGAACTCCTCTATCACCTGTGTAGGAGAGAAACATTTCATGCCAACTTCTTCTCAGCAGTCGTCCCTTCACCTACATTATGCCCAATCTGCATTCCGCTTTGCTGGTGACACCACTCACTTCCTCATTGATCAGTTTAGCGATAACATCTCAGGCAGGACTCGATCTGCCACCTGCCATTGTCATCACTGCACGCAGCTCACAACCCCCTCTGCTCAGCCTTCCTTCCATTCCTGTCAGTCCCCATTTCCTCCAACCTCCAGCCTCCTCCCCTTCATCTCAGGACAACCCCATATTTCTTACCAAACTTTTCCCTCTCTCTTCATCCTCCTTCTTCCTGTTCCCTCCACCTTTATCCCTCCTTCCTTTCAGCCCCTTTTCCCCTCCAACTCCATCCTCCTCTCTCAGTCACCTTCCTTTCTCCTCAGACTTTATCAATGTCTTCAATTTTCCATCAGCCTTAATTCTCTTCTCCTCATCCTTCATCCCATCCCTCCTTCACTCAATCTTCATCACTCCTCCTTAGCTTTCCCCAGCCCCCTCTCAGCGATCATCTCGTCATACCTTCTTACTCCTCACCATCTCCACAGTCTTCAGCCTCCTCCATTTCCTTCCATCTTCCTTCAATTCCCTTCAGCCTTCACCCCCTCATTCCCCAGCTTCCTCCACATCAGCCCCCTTTTTACTCCACCTCAGCTTTCAGTGACTGAAAAGTGTTGACACCAAGGAGGCAGAGAAATTGTTCAGGGATGGGTGAAGCAAAGGAAGCAAACAGGATGAAACTGAGCCAAGTGTGAAGATTTCAGACTGGATCATCAGGAAACATTTCCTAACAGTGAGGCGTTTGTGAGACTAGAGTCTCCCCAAGGGAAGAGGTGGAAGCCCCATTGCTTGGGATAGTTAAAACAAGGACTGGACAAAGCCCTGGAGAACAACTGTAGGGAACCACCTTGTCCTGGTTGGTGGGGGTGGGCTGGACTGTTCTAGATAACACTGTTAAGATAAATTAATACTGTGCTTTTTAAAGCTGCTGGCCTAAGTTCACCGTCAGTGTAGAAAATATCATGTAATGAAGAGGAAGGATTGTCCAAGAATTAGGACACTAAGCTGGGATTTTAAAGACCTATGTTCATGTCCCTGGTTTTCCTCTGTGACCTTGGTCAAGTCCCTTCGTCTCCCTTTGCCTCAGGCCACCATTTGTAAAATGGAGATAATAGCACTGCTCTGCCTCACAGGGGGGTGGTGAGGATAAAGACATTAAAGACTGTGAGGCGCTCAGATAAATATGGTAATGGGGGCCAGAGAAGTACTACAGAGAGAATGTCCTGTTAAATGAGAAGTTCTGTGGAGGCGCTCTGCTCAGAGCAGACCTACGTCCTTTCCTGCAATGGTGAACATTAAATAACTGTTTTATTATAATGCAAGAAATTGAGTGAACTCTCTCCTGCTTTTCAGAGTGTGCTAGCGCCCATCTTTCACAAGGTGGGCCTGAGATGAGGCCTAATGTATGGTTTTCCTATCGTTTAGTTGCAGGAGTCAGTCCCTCTATGCTCCTCAGCACTGCGCGTCCCATTCTCCAAGCTCCACGCCACATTTCCTTCTCCTGGTCATTTACCATCTGTGGGGCATTGATGTTTCCTGTGTGGTAACCAATTTGCAACGATCCCAGCACTGAGGCCATCACTGAATGCACCAGGGTCCGTGTGACTGTTTGCTAAACAAGAAAATAGTTGTACAACGTGGTAAGTAAACAGGAACTCAGCATTTCAGTCATGTGTCTACCAGACACTAGGGGAAAAGCATGGGTTTTAAAATATACCACTTAACACATCTCAGTGTCCTGTAGTGTAGATAGTGAACACACAGGGTCAGCCATGACCAGCTTTTAAAGGTGTTAAGCTCTGTCTACACTAGATACTAACATGTTTATAACAAGTACTTAATTCAAATGTGTTTTTAAAACACAATTTCTTTTTCTAGTCTAGACAATGCCAGACATCCCCCATCTCTAAGCTCTGCTACCTCAAAGCCTCACCCTCTGCAGGGTGCTTCCGCCCTTCTCATAACACCTGCCTCTGAGGGCAGGGACAGATTAAAGCATAGGCATTACAGGCCTGTGTCTAGTGTCCCAGCTCTTCGAGTCAGAATTTCAGCTGTTTTGTTTCTAGTCCTGTTGGTTGTGAACCAAAACCTTGAAAATGTGACCTAAGTGTTATCAATGCAGTGACGCCTGCCTGATTCAGGAGAGCCTGAACCGATACTCAGAGAGGTTTGAGCTGCTCCAGGCATCTCAATTGGGTGTTAAGTCTGAAACCAGCTATGGGTGGGGGCCCTACTCACTCATTCTACCCCAGTAGAGGATGCTATAATGGGGAGCCCTCTCTGCTGCCTCCCCATCACAGCTCTGCTGGGGTATTGTCAACAACGATCCCCACACAGTACCTTCTCTTTGTGTGGGTGGGATTGAGCCCTCTCGCCTCCCAGGATGGACTGCAGAAGCCCACCTGAAAACAGGGAGTGGTGGCAGTCCAGAACATGGCTCTCATTTGGGTAGCTCCTGCCACTAATACCCCAAGCAGCATGGGGCCTTGAGGGCCTCACTGAAGGGTATGCCTACTATGGCCTAGAATTGCCTTAATCTAGCCCTGCCTGGGTCTCTGCCCCCTCACACCTCTACTCCCCCTAAAAATGCTGTTAATTTCCTGTGATATCCCCAGTCTCCAGAAGATGGAAAGGAGGGCATTTAGCCCCTGTACAATCAAGTTTCACATTCAGTCTCACTGAACTACTTTTCTTATCTGATGTAAGGATCCCTATACCACACAGTAAATCTGCATCGTATCTACCTTGTTCCAACCCATACAATGATGCCGGCACCCTAGGTCCTGGCCGATGTGTGAGGCAATGGGGTTGTGTGTGACCCTGTCAATCCCTGGCGGGGAATTTCTCTCTGGATATTTTCCCCTTAAAAGGATTCTTCGGTGGTCAGCTCACTCAGCCACCCCCTGGGGCCTCCTGGGAGAGAAAGCAGGTCCCGGTTTTCTGGGCAACATGGGATTTATTTGTGTGTGGTATCATCACTACCCATCAGCCAGCAGGTGGGATTGGCCTCAAGGCTGGCCCTATGTTCTCATGACTCTGCCATCACCTGCCCTATGACATCACAAAAGGCTCTGACCGTCTCAAGGTTCCACAACACAGGAGACTGGGGAGGATGTTCATCCTTCCTTCCTCTCTCCCAGGTAACACCATGTAATGCTTCCCTGGTTTTGTTCATCCCAAAGACTGTGCACTCTACCAGCACTGACCTGCAACCAGCTCTGGTGGAAGGCAGCAAGCAGCCAGAGCTCACCATGCTGCACAACAGGGAATGAAGGATAGTCTAGCTGTAAAAGGCAGCCCCACTGCTAATCCCTGCTCTTACAACATATTATGAGAGACACTTAATATTCAAGGGTATGAGCTCAGTTTTTAAGGTTGCATCTGAGACACTTGCACGCAGCATGGAACGCGAATGATCCATCTCAGAAGAGGGCCAAGACAACTCTGCTGGGATTTCAACTGGGCTTTCTGCCCAGTGAATGCTCCTTAGCTGATTCTTGGACCCCTAAACCATCTCCTCGCTAAGTACATGCCCGCAGCCGCAAAAACAAACATCAGCTGGAAAACCACAGCACTCCAAAATGTAAGTTTTTAGAAGGCCCAGTCTGGAGAGAAATTGGTGTTACCTTGGGCCTGTTGAGGTAGGAAAGGATTTACCTGGTTCTCAGCTGCTCCAGGCGGTTCTTGTTGTGCAGTCTATCTGCTGCAGGTGTGAGGGTGTTGCATCATCTCACATCTGCTCTTCACATTCAGCAGAGGGACTGGTGGGGCAAGCGTGGCATTCTACACCAACTCACGTATGTCAGAAATGCCATAGCTGCCCCAGGAATAAGGATAAATAGTGACTTCTCCATTCAATGGGGTTTCCTCCTTGCCACCCTAAAGCCCATCCCTTGCTCCCTCTGTACACCTTACAAGTGAGTGAGACTCAGGGCATGTCGACACCACAGCCCTAAGCCGACCTACGTTAGGCCATCACTGCAGTGATGCATGTCCACACTACCCTCCTTCTTTCAGTGGTGTGTGTCCTCACCAGGAGTGCTTCCACTGACTGAAGAGGGGCAGGGTGGGGGGCTGCCAGCCAGTGCTCTTAGCTCCACGCAGCTCCCCACCAGGAGCCCAGCTGCCCCCTGTGCTTCTTGCCTCTCCGCTCCCAGCTGAGAGCAGGGGCCAGCCACCCAGGCTTCTCAGCTCCCTAAGCTTGGAGCCTCTGGGCAGCAGCCCGACTTGGAGTGTGGGGAGCCGGGGGGCAGCTGGGTTCTAGCTACCCGGCTTTCATGGAGCCATGAAATTGACAAGACAGCCAACAGCTGATGTAAGGGACGTAGTGTCTACACAGACACTGGGTCACCCTAACTACACTGACATAAGTGCTATGCCTCTCGTGGAGGTGGAGTTACGATGTCGGTGTAGTAGGGCACTTACATCGGTGGGACAAGGCTGTAGTGTGTACACTGACATAATTAAGTCAAGGTAAGCTGCCTTCCATTGACCTAACCAGTGGAAACTAGGCCTCAGAGGGGAAGACTCTCTAGAAGATACCTGCAGAGGGACAGGACAGACCAGCGCAGGGAAACCCCCTTTTTAACATCGTCCTACAGACAAATGTAGAGAGGTGAATTTCTAGAGGACATACACACAGGGGCTGAGAGAAGCATTACCATTGGCCAGTCAGCATCACAGTGAAGTAGAAAGCCCAGCACTGGAATAGCAGGGGGGCTGCAGGGCAGGACTGAGGGGCATTGGCTGAGCTGTGTGGGAAGACCAGGACTGGGATAGCAGGGGGGCTGCAGGGCAGAATTGAGGGGCATTGGCAGAGTTGGGTCTGTTCCAAGGACTGGTGCTATTACTGGTTTGGAATGAGGGGAGGTAACAAACCCAGAAGCAGATATGTAATATTTACATCCACAGTTTTTATTTTAGAAACATGTAACACAATCACAAATTAATAAGTATATAAAACCCATCGGCAATACTCATACTGCAGACATAGAGAAAGAGAGAGAGAAAGAGACAGACTAAGATAGAGGGAGAGTCCAAGGCATCATACAAACACCCTGATGTGCTGTTTGCAATGCTCTAGTGCCCAGCTGGAGGGGAATTTCCTTTCCTTACATACAGACATACAACCGGAAAGCTGTACCTTCCACAAATATTAAGGGATCAGAGTTATAAGGAGAATCAAAGGAATAAAATCTGTATAATTTAGACAAATGATGAAAGAGGGGAGTATAACCGTCTACAAACTCTGAAAGATGTAAATAGCAAGGAGGAAGAGGGAGTCCGAGGAAGGTGGGTGTGGGTGGAAGACCGAGGAGTAAGTTGATGAAATTGAGCGAGGAGGGAAATGTTCTTGTTAAATCACAGGAAATATTTCCCAGCAGCAAAATTTACTGGACTTTACAATTATTGTCCACAAGGGAAGGGGTGGAGGCTCCATCACTTGAGTCATTTAAAACTCAGACTAGAGCAAACCCTGGAGAATACACGGTAAGGAACCCCGGGCACGGTTCTTGGGGGCAATAACCAAGATGTGCCCTCAGATGATTTGGGGAGTATTGTTGTATTTTTGTTTTCTTTAGCCAGCTATGTGATGATGAGGTCAGGCATACTAACTTCCCTGCTGTGTGTTGTATGAAGTCCAGCCATGTAATTCTAGCTTTGGTGTAAATGGACCCAGGGTCTTCATTCAGATCCAGAGTTTGTTTCAATCCAAAAATGCAGAGGTGCTCAGTGCTGGAGTTTGAGTTTGGACTTCCTACACAGATGTTGATGGAGTGTCAATGGGCCTAACCACACTGGACTTTCCTTCTTTCTCCCTACTGAGTATTCCAGTCAGTGAAACAGAGCTCTCAACCCTCCGATTCAAATGTACTACATGCACTAAGCCTTGCCCTGCTAAGCTAAAGGAACTTTTCAGTCCTCTGGCAACTAAGAGACAAGAGGAGGGACCATTATTAACTGAATGTGTCTGACATATCCCATCTAGTAGAGGGCAGTAGTGTACACACACAGAGACACACACACAGACACACAATACATTACAGTATTCCCTGGAGCCTCCAGAATGGACAGCCCAGCCCCTGTAGCAAAAATTTACCCTATAGCCATGGACTAAACATCTTTCTGTCTGGCTATCAGGTTTCAGGAGCTTTGGTCTCTATTCCTTCATTTCTACCTTTACAGAGTCCTTTGTGTCTTGGATAACTAGTCCTGTATCCAGAAGGTTCATGCTACGTGCCTTTGTCTAAAGTTTAACTATAGGAACAATTGATAAGAATATACAGTTTTGGATTTTTTTTTTATACACACATCTCTTTAAATTACAATCTGTCTCTTTCAGACTTCCTTTACTGTTAGAAAAGAGGAACAGAGAAGCCAAATTTCAAGAAAAGAGGGTTGGATGAGTCAGCGTCTGGCCTGAAATAATCACCCAGCCTCCACAAGAACTAATAGTGACTGAAAATAGTGTCAAATAACAATGCCCTTTTGCTGTAATACTGCAATTTTCAAGTAATCCACGTGACCATTATTTAACATAGCCACCAAAAAGTCCTGAAGAATATAAGAACGTTGGTGGACACAAGAATGTACACAAATACTGTCACATGCTTATTCTCTCTCGTACTCAATTTTTTAAAATTTGTGTCTGGAGGACAGAAATGTCCTTTAATGGAGCCATGCATAATCAGCTCCATTTCATGTACAACCAGAGTGTAATTTTTCTCTTTAGTACCATATTTCTGCTTTACAGTTTTATTGCACCTCAAACCTACAGTATCATCTCTTAA